TTATTTCAGAAAGTCAGGATATAGATGAAGATTTCACTATCATTATATTCTATGTAACAAATGGCCCCGCAGTATGAACATTTCATCTAGCTCAGAAACCTGTTTGCCAGAAGCACTATGTTTGACATACAGTCACATACCAAAAGCGTGTGGAGATGGAAAACTCCCAGTCTTTTCCGTCCTTCTTCTTCCTTTAATTTGGTATATTTTTGTCTATCCTAGCTGACGGTCCATTTTCCAGCTTCTAAGACTACATCAACTATACAACAAAGCGTCATGAACAAAAAACACAAAAGGCTTCCAAAGGTTGGTGTGATATACTCCTGGAAAACTTGTAGGGATTCAAATATTTCCAATATGCATGGTCCAAAAACTAATATGAGTTCTACTACTTAAACAGAACTTGCATAGACACTGGTGCTTGTGAGCTTAGGCATTTAGCAGCTAGATATTTTTCACTTCCATTTTTAATAGCTAAATTGTCAATGGAGCAAAAGAACTACACATTCATAAGTCTATCTACCTTTTGCAAAGATGGACATATCCACTGTATGTGGCTAGACACTTCCACTACCTAGCAAGATTTTTGCGTTTGAGTGAGCAGAATGAAGAACTGCAAAGTAAGCTTCTCCTTTGCACATACACTTCTCTAGGTTATACAGGAAATTAATAATCAGTGGCATATGACTATGTGGTCTTACACATCTCCTTTGCTTTCCAGAGAAATCCGATCTGGACAGTAATATTTTAAAATACAAATACTAGGTATTTTTTAAAGGTACAGAACTGAAGTTAATTGACAGAACAATATTCAGAACTGGCCTCCAAATATTGCATCATACAGTAGCGCAAATCTAAAGACTCCGTAAAATTTCAAATTCTCAAATACTCTGGAGCAGCATGAATTGCTTTCTTAATGATAAAAAGAAATATCAGCGAAACTTTAATGTAGCTGTTGACTGAAGCCATATCAGTAGAACAATGAAAATCAACAACATGCATACAAGTATACATGCACATACAGACAGATACCTTTCGCATGATAAACATTTAGAAATAATTCTAAGAAGTTGTACCTTCTGTTCATGCCACCCTAAAAACACATACTCTATTTTCTGGCCACAGCGACTGATGCCTTTTACATTTCTCCATACAATATAGATATTCAAATATGTGATGAATTGGAGGAGGGGGTTATTCGATGTTTGACTGCAGTGGCACAAGCAAGTCTTTCTTTTTTTAAAGGGGGCTTGGTTACAGTTGGGAGCCAGTTAGGAAAACAAGGACTTTATAAATATATATACACTATTTGTTTTACTGGTTTACCCATGGCACTAATCACAATTCAGATTTGTGTGAGTAACAGAAAAGGGCTGTCAGAACGGTTCCTTACATGAACGTCCATTCATAAATCAAGTTCTGGTCCCCTTTAAGCTGCCAGTGAACCTTCTATTTTTCCTCCATTTTGGCTTTTTATCCACATAGTCTTACCTAAGAAGGATAAAATTATAAAAGAGAAATATCTTTTCAGACAGCCGTCTCCATTTTAATGCACTCATTAACCTGTTACTTCACTCATTAGGAATTTGGCTTGGAAGTTTTCAGATAGAAAGCACTTACTCTAAAACAAGCATTAGAGAAACGAACATAGCACTGCAAGAGCTGGACAAATGGCCCTTTACAAAGGGAGACGACAGTTGCCTACATTTTGTTCAATTTGCAAATGTGCCAGTTCATAGTTTTTTTCATGAATTATTAATGAATCATTGTGAACAGAGAAGACGAAAAGGAAAGAAAACATACAAAATTAAGCCTTTAGCTTTTTTTTTTTTTTCCTTCCTGAAGTGTAACACGAATTCAGCTAGGACAGCTTAGAGACTGGGCATATGGAAGTGGAGATGGTATCCAAAATAGTTTATATTTATCTGTTTGAGTTTTCTGGATAGTCTTGTAAAAAACTTTTAGTTTATGGATCTTTTAGTTAGTTTAGTTTAGATAAGCTAAACAAGTGATCTCAGGAAAGGAAGGAATGAATAAATGAAACCTAAACCCCACAACCTGTCCATTTTATTTTCCTGACCATGAATTGATTTAAAAAAGGCTCCCTGTACACCATGGCGTCCAATGGATAGAAGAGACAGTTATGGAGAGCAGCAAAACATTGTGAAAATGAGCTGCACAAGTAATATCTGTCAAAGGTAGACATGTTCTACTTTCTGCAGAGTTAGCAAAAATAGTACACCGCCCAGTTCTGTTTAACAGATGATTCTGACAACAGTGATTCTGTACAGAAGTGCAAAACTGGGAAGGGTCTTCCTTTTTAGAACCCTTGCACATATATGTGTGTGTGCATATATGTGTGTGGATGTGTGTTTTTGCATGTCTCGTGTATATATATAAATCAAAATGTCGTCTCAACAGCCTTAAAAGAAAATTAGGAGCAATTTTACAATATTACTCACAGTACTGCTTTACTGAAGCCTGTCACGCTTTAGACTAAAAGCTCTGTAAAATATGAAGAGGGTTTTTTGCCATTTTGTTTGGGATTCTTTGGGTAGCAGTCTTTCAAAATTCTTCTTATGTATCAAAGAACAATACGATTAACAAAGTCATCTTCTCAGATATTTGGAATATTTCTTTTTATGCACTTTTCATTTGAATAGACATAGGGTGACCTCAGACTAACTTCCAGATCAACTGTTTTGTACTTCTGAAGGTGGAAATACAGAAAAATAAACATGGATATGGTACAAAATTGTCTCTGCAACTGATCAAAGGCCAAGTCTGAATAGTCTGAAATTTGTGGTCTGCTATCAATAATTCAAAATCTGCATTAGACTCTGTTGCCCATCTCTAGAATTACTTATTTAAAAACAAAATGTTTCTCACATTTGTCATATTTCCTTCTGTACTCAAAAGATCAAAAGGCAAGTCTTTACAAGTTCATCAGTGGCAATCCTGGCAGCATCTTTAAGTTAACTAGTTAGAGAAAAAGCACAAAATTGCATTACAGTGAAGTAGAATGAATTCACTGTAGGATGGTATGCAGCTTACTGACCTTCTCTCCACTCTGCTTTATGGGAGGAAAAGAAAAAAAAAAAAAAAGTTTACTTCACTTGAAAAGGGCTTGAAAGCAACGGAGCCAGCAGCAGATCTTTGCTTCTGTTCATAGCTTTGAGCTGAAAAATTCATCTGTTTGGTCTCACCTTTGGACTAAGTTCATGGTGATCTTCCATTTTTGTTATTGCGTCAGTATCTTGCATCAATAACATAGCAATGATTCCACAAATATTGTGCTATCTTTCTTTTATTCTACCTATCCTCTTAAGCTAAATACTACTACTCCTTGAAGTATTACAGGTATTCTGTCAAAAAAGCTTCCCCCTTAAATCCTTAGGCAACCATCTCCAAATCAGTGGCACCTCTAGCCTGTTCAAACTTTGATCCTACACATTCTTTGTGACTATCCCCAAGAGCTGTTCACCAAAGGCCGTTATAGTGCTTAGCTTTAGCCGTTTGCAAACTGTATTACATCATTTTTCATATTTTTCAATAAAAATTTCCTGCTAAAAATGTGCAAATGAACCATGCAAAATACTGACGTCTTGGGACAGAATAAAAGGGAAAAACGAGAAAAGATTTCTTCAGACACATTTTGGCGTTAAGTAATTTCTGTATAGGCCTGTGAAATAAAAATTGCCTTTTCTTGAGAAATCTTAAGGGTCTGTAAATTTCAGAACTTTTTTTCATAGGCCCAGAGGAAAGCATATTCTAGCATTTATTCACGTCTCACATTTTCATCTCTGCATACAGAGCAGTGTCCACAATACACTTAGCTATCAGAAAGGGACACAGGTTTGTAAATGTAACACAAACAGAAGAATGCATTTTCTGTATTAAGTATGCAAGTCTAGTAAAAATTGTTTCCTCTTGAAACAATCCCCACAAATTACTAGAACTAGTTGCACAGCGCGAGTGGCCATGATTTCTTTCTCTAACCTCCAGAAAACTTGAATAAAAAGTTTGACATAGTCTCCAAAGCTTTCCAGTATAAAGGTGGTGTATTTGTTAAGAATGTTCACTGCACACATCATGGGTGACACTCTCCCAGGGGATTTTATTTTCTCTTTAAATACATGCTCAAAGGTGGCCTACTACTCTTTCATAGTTGTAGACTTCTCCAAACTCAGGCCTATCTCTAGGCCTTCTCTAGATGTAAATGCAATTTTTTGCTTCTATGAACTATTAAGAAGAACGTTCTTCTCTCCCAAAATGAACGTGACTTTTGAAGATTTGTGCATGCTTCACTTTCTTCCCAAGAGGAGCCAATGTATACACCACGATGAATAAATATAAAAAGGCAACATTTTTTCATTTTAAACTGCGCCTAGTAGAGACAAGCATGAAAGTAATGACACAAACGGAAGGATTTTAGCCTTTTTATCATTACATACTCTGCCCTATTTCCAACCTGCTGGGTATGTCATTTATTGCAAACCAACCACACAACATACTACTAGGAAGTAACTCATCTCTAATTTTATCTAATTAAATTAAAAGCCTCTCTCATGCACATTACTGAAAGTGACTACATTTTCAATATTGTACCAAATTTCTCTTCTTCAATCCCAAGGAAAGCTGTTCGGGTGAGGGCTGAGAACCGTATTTAGCTACAAATTGTTACTCAGCTACAGCACTTGCTCCCACAGAACAAAAAGAGGCCTCACCAACAGCGTCTACTGCTGTTGCCCTCATTTCCTCCTCCCTACCCTGAAAAGGGTATCTTTATAGCAAGGGAGTTCATAATCGATGAGTTCTGCAGCCCTGGTCCCGAACTAGTACGTAACTAGCCATAATTAGGGGGACACTCGTGGCCAAGCTTCACACACAGATACCCTCCTGTTACCAAAAGGGTGGGGAATTCAAGAGAAACCTTGTGCTCTTTCCTCACTTCAAAAGAGTTTTAAAATAGCTCTTTGTAATATAAAAGCCTGCCTTACCTGTAATTGGGAGCAGTGCCTGCAGGAGAGCAATGGTAACAATCCTCTTCCACTTCATCTCGCTCCCCTGGGCGTTGTCAGGGAATTGGAGGCCACAGTTTAGCAGAGTAGGGCAAGGAGGAGAAAAGGCACCTCCACGAGCTTTGTTCTTCTGCCTGCCTCCACAGGAAGCACCAGTTCTATAAGGCCTTTCAGAGTCCACCTGCCGGCAGCATAGCCGAAACACACGCACCTTCCTCTGCCTCACAACCAGGCAGCTTCAGAGGTTTGGGTTTTATATGCTTGGATATTGATGTTTGGGGTTTCCTTTTGTATTTTTCTTTCTTTTCTCTTTTCAACATTTTTTTCTTTTTTTAGTTCACCTGATGGTTTCTAAGACGTTCTATTTCTGTAGCTGCTGATCTCTAAAGGGAGCCTAGAAAGTATATCCAGTATGAAATTCATCCACACATCAAAGGGATCCTGTATAACTATGGTCAATACACAGCATATCATAAATAGAAGTTTAAATTGTAAGCAAGCTCCAGTCACTCCTGAACAAGTAGCTAGCTGAACTGGTAAAGGTATAAAGTTCACTTCTAAACCTCTGACTGAAATATAGACATAGCATTAGCGACTGAAAGTTGCTGCATTCTCAGGGCTGTCTGGTAGCCTGCATCTTAAAGGGCTGGATTCACTCTCCGTCTTTGCAGACGGTGTCCACACAACATAAACCACCAGCACAGCTGGCACTACCTGTCTCATTGTACTTGTATGTAACCAGGAAACAGAGATGCCCTTTGATGTGAACATACTACATCTTGTATTTTAAAAAACTCTCTATGTGTGCAGAACTCTGGAGCCATTTTGTCCTCAGAGTCACTGCAGGCTGTGCAGGGAGGAGAGCCTGTGTAATCTCTGTGGGAGAGCACAGTGCGCACCTCCTCCCCTTCCCTGAGCGTGAAACAGAAAGCTCGGCAGCCTCTAGCAACGTATGCCAAACCTGCGGGCCTCGAGCTTCAGCCTGCTTACTGCTTGCAGCTGCCCTCTAGCCACAGACACGGAGATAGATCAGGGTGCCCCAAAATAAGGGGTGTGGTTGCAATGTGATTATTTTCTAGGAATTACTAGGACTTTCAGCCTCGCATTCTAAGCCCTTTAATTAATACTGCACTGAAAGCAACTCAAAATAGGGCAGGGTCCACTCAGCGGCTTCCCTTGTGAAGCCTGGCTTCCTGCAGGCCTGCGTTCTTCATCCAGCCCAGTTTCTGTAGTCCCTTCTGCGTTCCCTTAAGCTGAGGCATATAAAGTTACCCCTACGGCCTTCCTCCACCCTCAGCTCTCCTGTGCCAACCTCTGTTGGGCCAGGGGGCTGGGCGAGGAGTAGTGGGGAACGTGGCTGACTGGAAGCACATGTGCACATACTCATTGACTAACCAAGCAGCCCAGGGCCAGCTGCTCGTTGCTGGGCCAGCAAAAGTGAAAATGCTCTGTTTTCCCTGCTGCTGGTTTCCTGGGAGCACTAATAGGCTCTCCCTAGCTAGCTACATGAAATTACAAGTAGGAACTGAATCTTCTTGGGACTCCTGCGTTTAATTGGATTAAAGTTGACCCTTGGTTCAAAAGTTACTGGGGTAGCAGTGACTGGCAGACAGAATTAGAAGAATCGTGAAGTTTGTCTCCTCAGGAAGCCAAGCTAGGGATCAAATCAGATGGTATTAAAGCAACATTCAGTACACAGTTGTGCCTAACTACATAGGCAAGAGAATAAGCATATTTAAGCAGTAACCCAGCAGAGGTGGCTCTGGAGAACGTTTCACACTATTAGGAATCAGGGACACTTTGTAGTCTTTTTAAAAAACACAGAATTCTTAAATGCATAGGAAAAAAAGCAAGGGTGTGGTTATGGATACTTCCTCTTCAACATTTCTCACTGGTTTTACATTTTTGCTATTATTATTATCATCAAGAGGTTAATAAAAGGATTTACTTAGTGCAATAGAGAGGAGGAACAACCGAGCATAAAGAAGTGAAATTAAGAAAGGAGAAATTTAGAGTTTTAGGAAGAACTTCCTGAGAAGGCGATATTAGACTTAAGTAATTTATCCAGGAAGGTATTAGGGCATTAATTAGTATTTTGTCTAATTTTCATATGCACATAATGTTGCCAAATCTCACCTTTGAGAAATCTCACACTATTGTGCTCTTTTTTAATGTGAATAAAAATCTTCACACATACTAACAGAAATAAAGACTACATTTTAGACAATTGTGAAACAGAAAAGGCTTGAAAACATGACTTAGAGGCACGTTAAACGCTAAAACTCAACCCCCTCTGTCCCATCAAAAAAAAAAAAAAAAAAAGGCCCAAAAAGAGATCGCTGAATGTTTACAGTATTAATTCTGTTAATGAATTTCAGGGTCAGATCTTAAGCTGGGGGGGGAGCACAAGTATCTTACTTAATGGGTTTTTATCCTTTCTAGTTCTTAGAAATGAGAGGGAGAGAGAATAACGTGGACTCCCACCAGATATGGGAACCGGATTGGTGATAACTGTTTCCTAATAGTCTGAAGAAAACTGGCAGTGTGAGAGTTAGTGTGCATATAAAAAGGATTTATAGGCTTTTGAAAGCAAAGCTAACAGAAATTCTTGGAAGATCCAGATCAAGAGTTTCCTTACCTTGATTTCTGGAGTAATAAAGGGTAAAACATTGATAACATGGTATTATCCTTTTATTTAAAAATGTAATTATTACGTACGGTACTAACAACACCAACATTATTAGGCACTGTTATTAGGCACTACAGCGCCCAAAACCTAGTGTAGTGTGCCATTCTGGGATGCTTAGATGGTAGTGCTGAGTCTATGCCCTCCCCCAGCCTCCAGAAGAGCTTCCTGCCTTGCTCTTCTACCCCTAGAGCAGCAAGAGGAGGCTGGATATGGGCCCTGACCCACTGCCAGGCAGAGGGCAAAGCACAGCCCAGCAGAGCCACCATCACCAGAGCTGGAAGAGGCATCATTAGTCCCAGAAATGGCTGTGCTGGGGTACATGGTCCATATTCCAACAGGACCCTGATAAAGCCCTCTCTGTCGCCTTCTTCAAATAATAGGATATTGACTAAAGTAAGGAGTTGGTGAGAGGAAAAAGACTCCTGCTCCCACTGCAGGCTGCCTAAATCTCATTGACCCTTTATCCAAAAGCTGAAATAATATCATACTAGTTCTTGATATTTTTTAGTAACAGTATTTTCAGAAGAGCAAATGGCACTGCTCATCACTATTCTGCTGACCCGTCTCCTCCTGTTATTGATCATAGCTTCTCCCTCGGGCAGAAAGCCAGCAAATTATCACTTTGAATAAAGAGTTAAGGCCAAAGGTAAGGAAAAGGAAGGAAGCACTGTATAAGAAAGTGAGATTAATGGCAACAGCAGGCACACTGAGAGAACAGCACTTGGGCCACCGTGTTTTGATGTTGGTCTGCATAGGGAAAGGTCAGAGCAAGAGTATGCAGACTTCATTTAGCAGTACAGGTAGAGTCAGGTTTTGCATGATAGCACCCCTGAAAATTCTGTCCTCCCAATCCCCCAACTTTTGCAACCACGCAAGTATATCACTATAATCTAAATACAATGAAAGTATACAAGAGAGTAGCCATGCTTGTATTGTGAGTTACTCTCACAATAGACACATCACAGGAGAGAGTAAATCACGTGCAGTTTAGGGGTACAGAAAAAGATAAAAGGAGGAAGTCTCTTTTCTAGGAAAATGATATTTTTGTGTTCATATGGCCTGTGTTCCACTACGAGAAATGATTTCCTTACAGCGCCACCTTCCATTCAGCCCATTTGTCTTTGCTTCTCTAGGAACTACATAGCACAGTTAAAATTTTGGCAACTCCTCCCATATTGTACATTAAGCAACCTCATACATGTATTTTTCCCAACAGTTTAAACAATGCTGATGTTTCAGTTTACTCATTTCAGTCAGATCGTAAGAACCTTGTTAACACTGGAGTACGGACTAATGCCAACAGTAGTTCAGCTGAACCAGCAGCAATTTTTCCTCAGTACAGACAAGGCCACAGCGGAGACAAAACCCTCCCTGCTGGTTGAAGACGACTAACTTGACTCTTTGTCTAAGCACATCTGTGGAGGAAAGTGCATTTCAAAAATTAGCTGCACTGGGAAGAGTGCAAGATTTTATCTATGATTCCTGAAACTGAATTGGTCAGGGAATTGAAGTAGTCCTCACCTACAACTCAGCTGTGTTTAAACTGGTCAAGGCGCAGCTCATTATCTGTAAGGTATAATATATTTCACAAATTAGACAAAGCATGCATTCACTTAGTTCTGTACATCAATATGCCATTCTTTCCCCGGACACAAGAAATTCTGGAAGAGCTCTAATGCAAGGGGCTGATTCACCCTCGGAAGCATCCATTTTTTATGCTTCCTGGCTATGCTACAAGAAAGCAGCAGTGTTTGCAGTTTTAACAGGAAATAAATGAAAACTGAAAAACAAACCTGCACCACAGTCAAGCTGAAGATAAAAAATAACTGCACACTGCCCTCTGGCTCATGCACTGCTACCACAGAGAGCTTGCCTGTAATCATCACCACAGAGCGCTGGGACTGAGAACAGGTCAGTTATCAAAAGTTCCCCTAAGCCTATTTGGTACAGTTAGTACTTGCAGGCAAAATTAGTACCTACATCACCTAATAGAGGAGCTGGCTGACCTTAAAGACAGGGGAGAATCGACACTCAAGACTGCAGGGCCTTGCCCCGATCCAGCAGGGAAAGAGAGCTGTAGTGCCAGAACTAGCTCAACAAGCATCAAAATAATTTTCAGAGATGCTCACACAAAGATAATGGATGTTAAATAGACAACAGCTCTCTCTGGGGAGCAAGCTGTAGCCCTCAGCAAGTCATGCCATTCATGCACTAGACTAATGCACTGAAAAGAAAGAAAGAAAGAAAAGCCTGCTGTTTACAGTGTGTAAACCCTCAATTTATATTGACAAAATGTTGCAGACTGACAGTCCTGCATTGCTTCACTGCATTTCAATGCATTGTAGTGCCTTACAGTGAAGCTTCGCTTTGCTATAATTGGGTTCCACTGTGCTAATCCCCTTGGAATGCAGCAATTAATACTTATTTAGTGATAATTGCTGCATTCCAAGGGGATTAGTCTGTCCCTTGCATATTTGCCAGCATTGCGAACGGAGAGCTGGAAAGAAGAGAGCGCCTAACTCCAGGTCTTGCTTTGCAGCTCCCAACAGGCAGCACAGAGGACTTGGTCTCACTACAACTGCTCCCCTGTGTGTGTGAGAATACTGCTTTTCCAAGGCAACCCTACTTGACTGTCAGTATTCCTTGCAGCTGCATTGTGCAAATA